TTAGAAAAATAAAAAATGTTTTACAAGACCAGGCTTACTGATTAGACAGAGGCTGGAAGAACCAGAGACGATGGCCCTTGAGCACCCTTGAAGTCTAGGTCTAGCACAGAACTCACCCTCATGAGCCATCCAAGCGCTGGATAGATATATAGTGGGGACAACACTAGTGAGATTTGCTCACTATGGAATGGTTAACCATCCAAGATCAAAAGGGCAACATTTACCTGGGGACGAGACTAAGGAGGTTGGGAATGAGGGTGGACTGGAAATAGGAACCATAGGGAGGAAGTGGGTTAACTGTTGAAACATGGAGGGGATTGCAATCATTGAGATGAAACTAAGAGTATGATTTTTTGGATGTAAAACTGGTGATCTGCTGGAAGCCTTCACTTAATTCACAATAAAAAAGTTTTTAAAAATAGTTTACAATGTCTTATAAGAGGGGGCTTTAAAAAATTCATAGAAAATGGAATTAAAAAAATAATCAAATGTTTCTATGACAAATTTTTTGAAGTCCCATAATAATATATTCTAATGTATGTCAAGGATTCCTGGTGTGGCGCTGCAGGATAATGCACTGGACCACAAGATCAGTTTGAACTGCAAGGTCAGTGGTTCAAATCCACCAGCTGCTCCTTTGAAACCCTATACAGGGTTGCTATGAGTTAGAAGTGACTCAATGGCACTTAACAACAACAACAATGTATATCAAGAGATCTGGTGGCACAGTGGGTTAAGCTTTGGCCTGTCAACCACAAGAATGGCAGTTCAAATCTAGCAGCAGCTCTATAGGAGAAAGATGAGGCTGTCTGCTCTTGTACAGATTTACCCTAAGGGGCAGGATGACTACTCGGCCCTACAGGGGCTCACGAAGTCCAATCAATTGTATGGAAGTGGGTTTAAATGATTGTACTTTTATATGAAAATGGAATCCGACTGCTCATTCTTACTTGGCAACTTACTTGGACCCGTATTAAATCTTGGAGATGTTTCCATGTTACTTCATGTCTTATAGATATTTCCACATTACTATACAGAATTGGAAAATAATATTAAAAGTATCATGGACAAACAAGGCTGTATTTGAAGAAGTACAGTCAGAATCGAATACTCCTTAGAAACTAGGATGGCAAGACTTTGTCTCTCATATTCAGGACATGTTACCAGAAGGGACTAGTCTCTGGAGAAGAACATCATGCTTCGAAACATGAAATATGCATGAAAAAGAGCAAGACCTCCGATGAGATGGCTCGACGCAGTGTCAGCAGCAGTGGACTCCAACATTACAACAACTGTGAGGACAGTGCAGGACCGGAAATGTCTCACTCAGTGCTGTATAGGGCCATTATGAGTTGGAACTGACTCGATGGCACCTAACAACAACAACACTGAGAACCAACTTTTATAAAAAACAGCATTGTGGTCTGACAACCATCGTTTAACTAATCCCCTCTTAATGGACATTTGGATTGTTTCCATTTTTAAAAATATTTTTAAACTAGACATCCTTGTACTTAGGTCTTGGCACACTTGGATTCATGCTTCTGTGGACTACTTTCCTAGAAGTCCAGAGACAGGAAAAAATTTAATAGAAGGTGACAAATGGCTCTCCCAAAGGGTGTGCCAATTCACACACCCCCTTCCCAGTGTGTGAGACTGCCTACACCCTTGCCAACACTAAGTACTATCCATCATTTTTATCTGTGCTAATCTGATTTGTGAAAAATTGTGTCTGTCTTTCATTTGCATCTTTGATAAGTAGTGAGCAGCTGCTCCGAGGTTTATTGGCTTTTCTTTTTTTCCTTCTGTGAGCTGACTTTTCAAATTCTTTTAAGTATTTTTTTAATGCATTTTTAAATTCTTTTGGATTTATTGAGAAAAGACAATTCCTTTCCCATGGAGCTTTGGTTATGAGATTTTATTATTCCCATAACTTAAAAGATGTTTCATGCAAGGGCCTAGGCGTTGGAGTGCTGGAAATGTTCTGGAACTAGACAGGTGGCCAGTTGCACAATGTTGTGAAAAGTACTAAATGCCACTGAATTGCTCACTTTAAAATGGCTCATTGATAGTATGGGGTTTTGTCTCAATAAGTTATTTTGAAATTGTTCTACTGTGTTAAAAAATAGATATAAAACAAAAAAATATTGCCAATTCAATATATTTTTTTAACTTGTTCAATTCGGTGACATCAATTGTGGTCAACATGTTGTGCAATCAATGATCACTATTCATTTCCAGATTATTCCACCACAATTAACTCAGTGCCCATGAGCAAGGGCTTCCCCTTCCCCCTCTCTCCAACCCCTGATAACCACTAAAAAGCTTGTATCTCTATATTGTTGTTGTTGTTGTTAAGTCTCATCAAGTGGGTGCCAACTAACAGCGACCATGTAGGTTGGAAATAAAGAGGAAGGATCAGCAGTTGGAAAATAATGGCCTTAGTGAGACAAATGATGCTGAGATCATATGATAGAATTTTGCAAGACCAGTGGTTTTAAACAACATAAAAGGTAACTATACACATGGATCTCACCATGTAGAATACACAGAAATCAAACTGCCTACATCTGTGGAAAAAGACAATAGAAATGCTCCATATCATCAGCCAAAACAAGGCCAGTGCCAACTGTGGAACAGACTATCGATTGGTCATATGCAAATATAGGTTGAAGCTGAAGAAAATTAAAACAAGTCCATGAGAGCCAAAATATGACCTTGAATATATCCCACCTGAATTTAGAGATCATGTGAAGAGCAGATTTGATGCATTAGACACTAAATACTAAAAACCAGAAGAGTTGTGGGATGACATCAAGAATATCATACAGGAAGAAAGCAAAAGGTCATTAAGAAAACAAGAAAAAAGGAAACAACCTAAATGGATGTCAGAAGAGGCTCTGAAACTTGCTCTGCAGTGTAGAGATGCTAAAGCAAATGAAAAAAGTGAGGAGATACAAGAGCTGAACAGGAAATTTCAAAGAGCAGCTCATGAAGACAAAGTCAAATTTTATAAGGAAATGTACAAAGACCTGGAGTTAGAAAACAAAAGGGGAAAACATGCTCAGCATTTCTCAAGATGAGGGAACTGAAGAAAACATTCAAACCTCTACTTATGGATTAAAGGATTCTATGGATAACGTAGTGGTTACGAATTGGGCTGCAAACTGAAAAGTCAGTGGTTCAAAACTACCAGTCACTCTGCGGGAGAAAGATAAGGCTTTGTGCTCCTGTAAAGGTTTACAGCCTTGGAAACCCTATACAGGGTCACTATGAGTTGGAACCGACTCCGTGGCACATAACAACAACAACATGGGCAAAACATTGAATGATGCAGAAAGCATGAAAAGAAGATGGAAGGAATACACAGTCACTATACCAAAAAGAAATGGTTGATGTTCAACCATTTCAAGAGGTAGGATATGATCAAGAGCCAATGATACAAAAAGAAGTCCAAGGTGCATTAAAGACACTGGCAAAGAACAAGGCACCAGGAATTGATGGGTCACAAATTGAAATCTTTCAACAAAGTGAAGCGGTATTCGAGACACTCATCTATGCCAAGAAATCTGGAAGACAACTAATTGGCCAACTAACTGGAAGAGATCCATATTTGTGCCCATTTCAGAGAGAGGTGACCAAACAAAATGTGGAAATCATCAGACAATATCATTAATATTGCGTGCAAGTAAAATTTTGCTAAAGATAATTCAAAAACTGCTGCAACCATACATTGACAAAGAACTTCTAGAGATTGAAGCCAGATTCAGAAGAGGATGTGGAGCGGGAGATATCATTCCTGATATCAAATGGAACTTGCTGAAAACAGAGCATATCAGAAAGATGTTTACCTGTGTTTTATTGATTATGCAAAGGCTTTCGATTATGTGGATCATGACAAGCTATGGACAACATTGCAGAGAATGAGTATTCCGGAACACTTGATTGTGCTCATGAGGAACCTGGTCCCTGCTTTGTCTTCCTTATCTCAATAAAAGTCAAATCCATTCTTCCGATTATCACTCTACTGCAAATCCTGAACATCCCACTGTGGCTCCACCCATCCAAAACCATCCCCCTCTCTCATGAAGCCCCCAGCCTGGTTTCCTTCCACCTTTGCTCCTGGAAACTAGTCTCTATATAGAAGTCAGACGTCATTTTTACATGATCAGTCAAGCATGACACATTGATCAATTCCCTACTTCCCCCACAACCGACAGGATCCCATCTCAACAGAGAAATGACCTGTCTTGAGGATGCCACCATTGAAGACTTTGTCAGAGAGCTGCCCCTGCTACCCTCAAAGTGTCTCCCACCCTCTCCTCCCAACCCCCTTTCCTCCACAGCTGCCCACCCCCAACACTGCCCACCTCAGCTCCTTAGTGCTAGGGCAGCTCCTTCCCTCATTTCCCTTAAGTCTCTGCTCATGGCTTCCTGCTCTGCCCCCGCCCCACCCTGTGTAAGGCAGCAGCCCCTCTACCATCAGGACTCCCCACCTTGCCAGGAGCCCTGATGACCCCACACTGACTGACTAGACTTGTTTATTCCCCTGCTGAGTTACGGCTCCCAGAGGGCACCAGCCCCATGATGACAGACACACTGTTGTGCTGTCAGCCCGTCTTCAGCACCTCGAACAGCACCAGGCTCTCGTAGATATTTCATGACTGACCCAATGAGGCGTCTTTGAACAGCACAAGAGGAAACTCAAACAATGGGTAGTCTTCAGGGGAAACACCTGCCCTTCTCCCTGCTCAGGCAGGACTAGGAATTTTTAGGGAGCATTTGTGAACAAGGGTCTCAGCCCCTTCTCTGGAGTGAGGCCTCTAGGTTTGAATCCTGCCCATGGCTCGTCCTAGCCACATGGATGTGGGGCGCATGACTATCAGGACCTGAGCCTGGTCCCTCTCCTCAGCCACATGAGGAGAGCACCCACAGAGGCCCGGGGGGTGGGACTTTCAAGTGGGGGGTCCGAGATGCCAGCATACACCCCCGGTAGTTACCTGCACATTTTTGTGGTGGAATTGAAGAGCTTCACTTTGTAGCTGCTGTTGCAAATAAGCAGGAAGAGTTCCTTGGTGAGTGGTGGGTACCAGACCATGCAGGTGGGGTAGCAGCCCTGGTCAGTCCGATGAATGTCCAGGACTTCCAGGTGGTCTTTGTAGGTCTTGAGGAGATTGTACTCGATCTGCAGAGAAGTCCCGAGGGGCATATGAGAACTCATCCCATTGCCACATAGTAATCTTGGAGGACAGAGTAGAACTCCTCCTATGGTTTCCAAAGGAAAACCTACAAGGTAGGTTTGAACCACAAGGTCAGAGGTTCAAACTCACCAGCTGCTCCTCAGGAACCTATACAGGGTCGCTATGAGTCCAACTGGCTTGATGGCACCTCACAACAACAAATCTTTATGGAAGCAGACTGCTACATCATTCTCCTGCAGAGAGACTGCTGGGTAGGTCTGAGTCACCAGCCTCGTGGTTAACCTACTGTGTCATCAGAGTTCCTACAAGAGGACTGAGCAGAGTGAAAAACACAGCAAGGCACCCCAAGAGCAGGGCAAAGCCTACAAGTCCTCCCTCGTCTCCAGCAATCAGCCTACAAGTCCTCCCTCGTCCTCGTCTGAGTCTGGCCCTGTGCTTCACAAGCTCCTGCTGCTGGACACCTGCTCACTGTGGGCAGAAGAGGGGTACAGCAAGCAGAAATCATTGTTCAACTCACACAGCAGCCTGTAGATGAGGAAACGTGTTCAGAGAAGTTCTGTGACTCGCCCAAGGTCACACAGCTACAGAGAGGTACCACAAGATTCCAAATGTCCAGCTGTCCCCAGAACTCTGAGTTCTGTTCATCTACATCGCTGGCCACTTGCTTGGGAGCCCTTGTAGGGTCAGAACTGCCGGGGTCTGGCCCCGACATAATTGTCACGAGTTTTTGGTTCACGAGGAGGGGAGATCCAGCGGCGATAGGGATAGCGAAAGAATACACAGACAAACAGAAGAAGGGAGACAATGAGGCACCCCAAAGCCAGGGTGGATACATCACTGGTGGGCAGGCTTGGGACTACAGGCATCATGGCCTCTGCAGGCAGCGACTCACTGCCCTGCAATCTTTAATGGATGCCTTCCAACCCGTAACGCACCGCAATCTTTACTCCATGCCTTCCAACCAGTAATGCACCCCTGGGGAGGCCCAGGCCTCTGTTTTATTTAGGGGAGGAGTTTCACACCAAGCTGGGAGGGACTAACACAGGATACAGCTAACATCAGTAATTTTCCAGACATTCAGGTAACTTTACATTGTACTTCACTGGTTCGAATCTCAGGCCAGCAACTTGGATTCTCAGGCCCAATTAACATATCTATAGCCCCTGAGGTCAGTTGGGGGAAGTTGAGAGTTCTGTAGGAGATGCCCAGGTGAATGGGCTGCACCTGGAAAAGGGATTAGGGAGGATGGGTTCTTTGTCTATAGAACAAAGAACCAAGAAGTAGCTAAGATATTTTTAGTTAATCCTTTGGAGAAAGGTTTAACCTTGCAACCTTTAGTTAATCCTTTGGAGAAAGGTTTAACCTTGCAACCTTTAGTCTCCGCTTTAGGAAAATATCACATTTATCTGTGGATTTTCAAAGGCTCCAGTGTATTAATTTAATATATATACCTGAATATTAAGATGAAAGCAATTTTCCATTAACTGCCAGTGGCCTCATTTGTTACACTCAGCCCTAGAGGGCCTCGAACCTCTGACTAGTCTTACACGGTCTGCAACACAGAACTAATTTAGGTCTGGCTTTCAGTACTGCACTGTAACACACTAGCAGCTGAATGTGGCTTGTAGGGATGTTTTAGCAGCTAGACCTGAATGAATGGATGGAGGGAAGGGTGGATGTGTGTGTGGATGGATGGAAGGAAGGGAGAATGGATAGATGGGTACATGGGTGGACAGATGGAAGGAAGGATGGATGGATGGACAGGTGGATGGAAGGAAGGAAGGATGGACAGATGGGTGGAAGGATGGAAGGAATGAAGAATGGATGGATGGGTGTGTAGATGAATGGAAGGAAGAAAAGATGGATAAATGGGTGTATATATGGATAGAAGGCTAGAGATGGGTGTGTGGATGGATAGAAGGAATGATGGATGGATAGATAGGTGTGTGGATAGATGGAAGGCAGGAAGGATGGACAGGTGGAAATGTGTATGGATAGAAAGAAGGATGGATAGATGGGTGTATGTATGGATGGATGGAAGGAAGGATGGATAGGTGGGTGTATGGATGGATGGATGGAAGGAAGGATGGATAGGTGGGTGTGTGGATGAATGTAAGGAAGGCTGGACAGATGGGTATGTGGATGAATGTAAGGATGGATGGATGGAAGACAGGAAATAAGGGGAAGAAAGAAGGAGAGATGGAATGATTGATCGATGTCTGAGAGAAAACTGATGAAGAACCCTTTTGGCTTTCTAACATTATTTCCTGTTGCCACTGTCCCGGACTTTCTCTTCTGTCTCACATCCTCAAATAGATTTTCCATTTAGGGAACAGGCTGGCCCTTGTGCTCTGGACACAACGGAAGTGCATGCCAATTTTCCAAAGGTGCTCAGATGTCCAGGGGGCTCCTGATGCTTCCCAGGAGCCTGCTTTCTCTGGACACAGACCCCTGTGCAGAGCTCCAGCCACACGGACGGAAAGCAGCAATGCTAAGAGGTCTATGCTACTCCATCTTCAGTTCACTTTCTCTAGCAAGCACACGTCCTACGTGAAGGTTGTGTGAGACACCAGGGTTCTGACAAGTCCAGGTAAGCAGACAAACAGGAGCACAAGCAACTCACCAAGAGACGGTCTTTCCCAAGGCTCAGCAGCCGAGGCTCATTGCTGTCCAGGTGCACCCCAAACAGGAGACTCCGGATGCTCTTGCGATGAGAATGAAGTCTGGCTAAGTATTCCCAGACCCTCTGTCCATGTTTGACTACTACCCAGTAAAGCGCTACAGTGTAATTGGTATCCTGAGGAAAAGCCAAAAGGCAGGAATGAGTCCTTCTTTTCATTCTGCAACTTAAACATCAGCATGCTTTTCATGCTTATTAGGAAAGCTTATTTAAAAAGTATTAGTCTATAATTGTGACTGTCACAACTGTAAAGGTAGAAGTTTTGTAACAAAAAGAAGGGAGAAGTTAACCTTACAGTCCAGGAACAGAGGACCCTAGGACCATCAAGGGAGAAGAAAATGAGTGGAATGTGGGACTTGATTCAGAAGCAGTGACACCAGAGAAGGAGGCAGAGATGAGGACATGGAGAGAGAGAGAGCAACTGAGGACTCTAGACTCATGGAAAGAGAAAGGTTGTGTGCTGGTGGCCAGGAGGCAGGTTTGCAGAATGGGCCTTTTCATTGTTTAAATGATCATATATTACCGAGTATTTTTGTGTCCATCCCTCCCTCACAAAAACACAGAGGGAATAGAAGCAAATACTGTTGAATGATGATGCACAGAGGAGATTGCAGTCATTGCAATGAAACAATGAGTGTAAAACTGATGTCCCCCCCATGCGAACTATCACTCAATTCACAACAAAAACTTAAAAAAAAAAAAAAAAAGTATTAGTCTATTGGAGCAAGTTATAAAATCATGCCCATTTGGCAGATGAGAAAAGAAAGGTCATAAGTAGACAACTTACAAAGATGGTGGGGGAAGGAAGCATTTTCTGACATTATGATGTCAATCCAGTTTCCTATTCTCCACCTCATTCTTCGTGGAGAACCAAGAACCTGAGTCTTTTGACTTCCTCTCCCTTCTCTTTCCCCAGCTATGTAAAATGCAAACAGGTGAGTCTGCTGAGCATGAAGGGATCCAGCAGAGAGAGAGAGAGAGAGAGAGAGAGGAGAGAGAGAGAGACAGAGAGAGAGAGAGACCACCTGAAGGGACCTGGGTTGTATGCACAGTGTCATCAGATGGAAGAGCGAGGGGTAGTTCTGGCCTTTAAAAGTGTTGCGTACCCAACCTTAAAATTATCAACTATTTGAGGTCAAAAGGGCAGCATTTAACCAGGAAAAAGGTCAGAAGGGTTAGGAAACAAGAAGGAATGAAATCAGGAAACACAGGGAGGAAGTGAGATGAGTGTTGTCACATGGTGGGGATGACAATCAACGACACGAAACAAAATGTGTCTCAACTGTTGAATGGAAAACTGATCTGTTCTATAAACCTTCACCCAAGTCACAATAAACAATTTTTAAGATAAAAATAAATACATTGCTTATAGAATAGATGAATCATAATCGAATGAGAGAGAAATGTGGAACTGACATTCAAATTTCTAAAAAACAATAAACCAACCAGACTTACAGGACTGGAGGATTCTCTGAGAAATACTGCCATGAGACATTCTTTCAACTTTGAACTGAAATAAGCTCCTGAGATCACCCTGTAGCTGAAGAACAGATTGACTCACAAAATAAAGAACGTCATTCACATTTTAAAAATCACACAAAGGAGCTCAAACAGTTAACAACTACTTGCAAACAGAAATGAGAATGTAAGGGGGTAGGGAAACTAGATAAGTGGAAACAGAACAACCAGAATGGAATTAACGAGCATGTTCATGCACCATGAAGAATGTAACCAGTGTGACCAAACAATTTGTGTGGAAGTTAATGAAATGGAACCTAAACTGCTGTGTAAATCTTCCCCAAAAGCACAGTAAAATATACTTTAAAAAAAAAAAGGTATTGTGTGCACTGACTAAGGGATCATTGGTAACTTGGTGGTAGAATTCTCGCCTTCAACACAGAAGACCTCGGTTCAATTCCCAGCCATTGTACTTCATACGCAGCCATCACCTGTCTGCCAGTGGAGGTTTTAGTGGAGTTTCCAGACTAAGGCAGACTAGGAAGAAAGGCCTGGCAATCTACTTCCAAATTCAGTCCATGAAAATCCAATCTGTACTCCAACCTTCAATCAACTGTAGGAACAGTGCAGGACTGGGAAGTACTGAATTCCATTGTGCATGGGGTCACAAGGAGTCTGAAGTGACCCGACCAGAGCAGTTAACGATGACACAGATCCAGAGAGAAAGAAGAGCCAACATGGAAATGGGAGAGGGTTAAAAAAGAGAGTGGGCATATGTGCTACTTCCCGCTTCACAGACAACACTGAGAAAAAACAGGCACATCACAGATCACAAAAAAATGGCAGAGGGGGGCTCAGGACCATAGTCTCACCAAGGTCAGCTGACACAACAGTCCACAAAGAATGTGCTATATCCTCCTTTGGTGAGTAAGACTGGGATCTTAAAAGGTTGGGAACAGCCATCAAAGATGCAGCTGTTGGCATCTCCTTGTCCAGAGGAAAGAAGACTGCTGAAAATCAGCATAATTAGTCCAATGGGCTAATGCACCACCTGAACATCACTTCACAACTGAGACCAGAAGAACTCAATGGTGCCCAGCTACCACTACCAACTACTCTGAAAGAAATCACATTAGAAGGTCCTAGGTAGAATGGGAGAAAATGTGGAACAAAACTCAAAATCATAAAAGAGACCAGGTTTACTGATCATATAGAGACTAATGGAACCCCCAGAACGAGGGTCCGGAGTTACCCTTCCAGTCTGGAAATGAATTCAACCCCCCAGCTCAATTTTCAGCCAAACAATAGATAGATTTATGTTACTGTTAGAAGTGCTGTTGAGTCGGTTCCAACTCACAGCAACCCTGTGTAGGTTTTCCAAAGTGTAGCTGATAGGTTTGAACTGCCAACCTTATGGTTCAAACTGACCTTATAGTCCCCTGCTTATCCTACAGCACCACAACAGGACTCCAGACAGCTCTATAGGGAAACAGAAACCCTAGGAGGCACATACCACTTAGAAGAATCAACATTTAAGATAAAAAAGGCAGCATTTATCCTAGGACAGAGTTGAGCAGAATTAGGAAAGGAGGAGGAATGGAACCAGAACCCACCGGGAGAAGTGGGTTACAGAGGCTTTACTGGGGAAACTGAAGTCAATGAGATGAACCCAATGGGTCTGAACTGCTGAGTGGCCAATTGATGGTGTGCTCTGTAAACCTTTAACCACGTCCACAACAAACAGAAAGAAGGTAATGTCAGAGGAGAGGTTAGAGCACTAAGGAAATCGTCACAGAACCCCAAATCCTGGAGAACTTTGCTTTCAGAGGATGAGACTGTCATCTTGCCAGACATCAAAGGCAAAGTGGAAGACGGAGGCCGACATGGGCACCCTCGCAGCACAGGACCCAAGGTGGGCAGTTCCGAGACCTCCTCTTCCTCTCTCCCTCCTGCTTGCTTGCTTTCTTTTTTAACAGGTGGATTTAGATCAAATTCACACAGCACACAGTTCACCCACTGAAAGTGTACAATTTAATGGTTTTAGCACTGTGGGGTCAGTTCCAGACTACCACAACAAAGTGAATATCACAATAGAGTGAGTTTTGGGTTTGCCAGTGCATAGAAAAGTTAGCTTGACACTGGAGTGTTGTATGAACTATGCAATTGCATAGTGAAAACGTCTGGAATACGGGAAGAATGACCAACATGAAACACAGAGACCCAAGTGCATGCGCGCTGTTGGAAAAGTGGCAGCCACATACTTGCTCAGCGCAGGGTTGTCCTTGCTCCGCTGGTAAACAGCACCATATCTGCAAAGCACAATGAAGCGAACGGCAATAGAGCGAGGTATGCCCACAAGTTCAGACAATTGGACAACCGTGGCCACTCTCTAATTCCAGAACATTTCACCCCAAAAGAAACCTTCTACCCCTTAGCAGTCATTCCTCATTTCCACCTCCAGGGTTCGAACTCAGGTCGCTAAGCACCTACCGCGGTCGCCATATACTGGGAGTCATGGGAGAAACTTATGTGAGTCACGCTGCTCCGGGAATATCGGAATGGCTCTGAGATTTCATTTTCTAAGGACATTGCGTCAAGAATGTAAACTGTCCCCTCTGTGAAGCCAGCTCCAAGAATGGCCCCTGAAACCACAAACCAGAGAACAGTGATGGGTAATGGTGAGAGATCTCAGTCACTTGAGGTGCCAGGCATGTTTAGTACTGAGCAGACAGCCATGACCAAGACACCCAGGGTCGGGACCACGGCTCTGTAGAGTAAGCCTTGGAGTGACGGGGGATTCTGAGGAAGACCACCCTCATCGAGTTGGTTGGGAGGACAACATGTTGCTATGTAGCTGGACAGGTTTTGGCAGAGCCACCAGACCTGGTGGTCCGCTTCCAAAATTCTGTCAGAGAAAACCCTGTGGATCCCAGCAGTTCAATCTACTGCAACTGACTGGGGAAACCTCCTACCCTAGGGTAAGAGCCCGCTGGTGGAGGGTTGGGGGCATTTTGCAATTTGGAGCCTTCTCCAGGCTGATCAAAATGAAAATACCTTCCGGGTTGTAGGTCAGACTCTGCACGCCCAGGCCCTTCTCAAAGACCCTGCTGAAGAGGTAGGTTTTATTCTCGTAGTTCCACACTTTGATCATCCCACAGAAGCTGCCGATGGCCAGGAGGGGCTGGTAGGGGTGGCAGGCCACAGTGCAGATGGCGTCCTTCGGCTCAACAAACAACTTCTCGAGTTTGGTCCCATCTGCTGTTAGGTGATACACTGTGGCATCAGACGTGCCGATGATAAAGTTCCTGTTTGCCAGGGAGAGACCAGACTGCATCAGGGTTGGCAAAGAACAGGCGACGACAGTCCTTCTGCTTCTAATTGCACATGAGCTGCCTCTGTCGTCTGTAATTTAGTGACATTATTAACCCAGCGCCTCCAAAAATATACCACTGACACCCAACAGTCTCCATTTGCAAGTGAAAAAGCCCACGTTTTCTATATGTAAATGGAGTCATTAAGTATGCAGATGGACAGTCAGTTGTGCAATTAGCTAATCTGCACATGCAAATGTTCATTTGTGTATGCAAATATGGAGCAGGGTGCACACATACAGATGTGCCTGTAAATATTGCAAGGGCAATTAAGCTCACTCGCAGACAATTCAGTCTTGAAATGTTATGGCTGTCAATTATCAAGAGCCTTCTGCGCTTTGGCTAGGATAAACTCCACTTCCAGGTACCACGGGAACCCACAGTGAGGAATTTCACACTTCACAGAGGTCAGCGTGCAAAAGTAAAGGCCTTCAAGCTCTGAGTTACTATTGCCAAATAGTCTTCTTGTTGTTATTGGGTGCCATCAAGTCAGTTGCATCCCTTTGTACAACAGAAGCCGAGATGGCCCCGGTCTGCAGTTTCACAAGGCTTGCATGTTTGGGCCCACTGTTGTAGCCACTGTGTCAATTCATCTCCTACAGGGTCTTTGCCATTTTGTGGATGCTCTATTTAACCTCCTGACAGCATGTCTAAAGTACATGGGACGACGTCTTGCCATCTTCATTTCAGAAGAACATTCTGGCAGATTTGTTTATTCTTCTGGTTGTCCATGGTATATTCAATATTCCTCGCCAACATCATAATTCAAAGGCATCAGCTCTTCTTCAGTCTTAGTATTACAATAGTGTCTAATTTCCATTTTAAATGATTGGTGATTGAGTTGAGTCAAGAAAAACCCATCAGAAAGTGGGCTGAAGGATGGAATAGGAAGACTGGGCCTTGCTCTACTCTGTAGCCCAGAAAAAGATAAACATTTCATTCATGCACCAAAAAAACCCCAAACCAAATCCACTACCATGGAGTCAGTTCCAACTCAGAGCATCCCTTCAGGACAGAGTGGATCTGTTCCACAGGGTTTCTGGGACTATAAACCTTTATGGGAGCAGATAGCTTCACTTTCCTTCCATGGAGTGGCTGGTCAGTTTGAACCACCAATCTTGACATCTAGCCGGCCACCAGGGCTCCTCAAGCTGAAAGAAGGCATTGATAATTCTCCAACAACTAGATTGGTAGACACCTTACCTCACCATAAAAAGTTGACCTTTTAAAGTACAGTCGGGAGGGTAGTTTGATTTCTCAGCAGACGCAGATGGCAGGCTCTTAGAGAAGGACAGGGTCCGTATGGAGCTCAGTTTGAAGTGACTATACCAGTTAACAATGGCCAGGGTGCGGTCATAGAACTTAATGTTGCCCTTAATGTCACCTGTGACAATGTAGCTGAAACGGAGAATAACAGCGGATCATTCTCCAACAAAAATGACTCCCACCCTCAGCTGAACACTTACTGCTTTGCCAGATCCACTTCATTTCATGCGGCCCTGTCAGACTGATTTTACTGCTATCAGGTTTATAAACTAAGACTCTCAAGGCTTAAAGCCTATAGTTGCTGCATTCAGCGAATAAAAACACAGGGTGCCCACTTAAATTTGAATTTTGAGTAAACAATGAATATTCTTATAGTATAACCAAAACCCACAGCCAATTCCAATTCCCAGAACCACCAGGGAACAGATAAGAGCTGTTCTGTTGGGTTTCCAAGGCTGTAAATCGTTACACAAGGAGACTACCGCATGTTTGTCCAATGGAGCAGCCGGTGGGTTCGAACCTCTGACCTTGTGGTTAGCAGCCAAACTCTTTACTGTGCCAACAGGGCTCCTGTGTAGCGTAAACTCACTGCCATTTAATAGATTCTAACTTAATAGTGACCCTATATGATGGAGTCCTGGTGTGGCACTGCAAGCTTATGTGCTGAACTGTAAGGTCAGTTTGAACCAGCTGCTCTTTGGAAACCCTATACAGGGTCACTATGAGTCAGAACTGATTCGATGGCACTTCATAACAACAACAACAGTAAAACTGCCCTACAGAGTTTCCTAGGCTGTCATCTTTACAGAAGCAAACTGCTGCAGCTGAACTCCATCACCACTTCACCCTCAGGGTTTAGTAGAAGGATGTCCCAAATATTGTAAGTGACAGATTTCTACCTGGTAGCCTTACCAGGTGCGTCTGAAGCCACGCTCCCTGCTCGCTTTTGCACCGAGCAGTGGGGGTGGGCCCTCTGAAATTCTCAACAAGCTACAGCTGTCTTTGGAGCATTTGTAAAATCCCACCAGCCAAAGGTCCTACCGCAGCTTTTCTCTCTAGAAAAAGTGGCTCATCCTAAATGGGCCTGTGTTATACGAGTCTGACATAATTCTAGTCCTAGGGGGAGGAGGGAAGAGAATTTTCTTGTATCTGCATCGAGATTAAATGAAGCTTCTGATTAAGCCAGGCAGGTGGGTAGAGTAATTGGTTAGAACACCATGCACTGCCCTCTGCTGGAGAAAAGCAGCAGCACAAGCCAAGAATGTTTTACATAGCTTGAAGACGTGGAGAAATGGGAATTTACACCTGGTCTGCACTGGATTGACTAACCACCAATGAAGGTGTGTCTGACCCAAGCCGTGGTATTTTCAATAACCTCATATGCATGTGAAAGCTGGACAGTTAATGAGGAAGACCATAGAAAAACTGATACAATGGAGTTAAGGTGTTGAAGGAGAATATTAAAAAGTACCATGGCCTGGGGACTCTTGGGCCCAGAGTCAGTGGCGAGGCCACAGAGGACTAGAGTGGAGAGTGAAGTTACCAGCCGATAGGAAGAGAGGGCATATGCACAAGAACACTGACCTGGCTTCGATGACTGGATGATCAGAGCTCAACCAGGAGAAGAAAGAAGAGGAAAAAAAGAGTAATCTGATACAATTTGATGAACTTGACCTAC